TTCAGCTCTTGTCACTTCACTTGACATTTTATTGTCAACATATGTTTTGTCTGCTAGTTCAGGATGAGTATGTTCTTTTGTTGCATAAGCATTGTTAGCTCTTTCTTCTTCTTTTGCTATTGCATCGTCTACATATTCTTTGTCAGCTTTGTTGTCAACATCTGCTTTCAAAAGAAGTTCATTTATAGGTTTCTCGTTTAAAGTTCCTTTTGTTGGATTTATACAGACAGTATTGTTCTTCTTGTCTTGAAATAGAAACTCATCTGTTAAAGGGTTTAATGTCAGTTTTAAGTTTCCTTCTTTCAATGACTCAGATATCTTAGAATAGTTTGAAAAGTTTGTTGTGTTCTTATTTAGAGCTTGCATAATGAGTTGTCGGTTGTGTTGTATTTCTCTTATGGAAGCAATATCTTTCGACATTTTTATTATAGATAAAATATGCTTCCAATAGAAAAAGAAAATTCTAGAGTTGCTACAACTAAACCATTAGATGAACTTTTTACTAATGTCGGTCAAAAGTTTGAGACAGATACCGTAAAGCATGAAGGCTATCGTTTTGACTACCCATTAAGATGGTTAAGAGACCCATCCGTCACAAAAGCTATTGGCTTTCGTAGAATGAAGTTCATTTCAGAAGCCATACATGGTTTCCCATTTACGGTCGGTTTTGAAGTTCGATACTATAACAAAGAAAAACGTATGTATGAGAAATTTGAACAGGGAAAACTTTTACAAGTTAGTTTGCTTATAAATTTAGAAACAACTCTTCAAGCTTTTCAAGAAAAAATAAACGATATCTATATCGAATATGCAAACCAGTATAACATTGACGAAGGAGAATATCATCTCGATATTATTTATGACAGGAAAAATGCAACTGTTAAAATCAATAAAATAGAAGACCTTGGAGAAAACGTTTATATTTCTAAAATATAACAACTTGGCATGGTATAGATTTATGAGGATGTTAAATCAGCCTGCAGCATATCCAGTACACCCGGACTATTATGAAGTCGAAAACCCTAATGGAACATATGAAAATATTTTCGACCAAGATGCTATTATTGTTCATGCTTCATTTTCTGGCGCCCAAAACTCTTTTTTATGCTTGGCAAATGACTTTTACGAAAAACCTACAAAGTTATACGAACCACCAAGTGGAAGTATTTCAGACTTTCAAGTATGGTTTACTACAGATGGAAGAAAAAGAATAATTCCATTATACCATGCGTTTTACTTAGAACTTAGTTTCATATACAACTACTATCGAACGGTAAAAATATAATTTTTTAATACGGTTGAGGTGTTGGATTTGGTTGCCAACTAGACTGTGGTGCAGGTTCAGGCTGTTGTATAACAGGAGCTTGTTCTTCTGGTTCAGGGTCTTTAGGTATAATACCAACGAACTGACCTACTCTTTTACCAATATTTTTGACTCCGTTCCAAATTCCTTTTCCGACAGATTTTATTCCATTCCATATATCTCTTCCAACTCTTCTGAAGAAGTTTCCAATACTACTGAAGAAACCCATTTTACTAGTAGTAAAAATCTAATGTCCGCCAAGTCTTTTACGTTTCCTGTTGAGTTCCATAGCATTCTTTAACTGGAGCTCATACATTCTGTTTCTCCTCTGGTAGAAAACATATTCTGGGTCAACTCCTGTGTTCGCGTCATCTGCATAAAGTTGTTTATATCCCACTTCAGGGTTTGTATAAAACTCTTTCCATCTCATATTTGCATACCATGGTGGCAAACCTAACGCAGCGTCATTTGACATGGCAGTTTGCATTTGTACATCTGTTGGCACTTGACCATAGTTTGCCATTGCAGTTTGTATTCTAACTTCATTTGGAATATTCTCTGAGTTTGGTTGTCCAGGTTGCTGTGCATTCGCTAAGTTCTGTGCGTCCATTTAATATTAGATAAAAATATCTCTTACGAGTACATATACTGAACATTTGCAGGCATTGGTTCATCTTCATATTCTCTGTACTTTTCTACCACGTCAAATAAATAAATGACACAATGGAAAAAACCTAAAACTAACAATCCGATTTCAAACCACATTTACTTACTAATAAAATTTCTTTATTGTGACACTTTCTCCGGTTTATAGGACCTCTCTCATATTCTATCTTGTCATATCTAAACTCATAGTCGTTTATATCTTCTAGCCATTTCATGACACTTTCTAAACCACTTTTATCGGATGTAAAGTAAAAGCATGGATGGTTATGTATAACGTCTAAAGTTTCTAAAGAGTCTCTCAAAGTCCAGTCTACTTGGTATTGAAAATCCCATGTGTTATAGAACGGCGGGTCCACTATAAAGAAAACATTTTCCTTGTCTTTATATTTTTCATACAACTCTGTCCAATGACATCTCACAAACTCTATACCCTCAATATATTTTTCTATGTCCTCTTTGAAAACATTTGTATAGTTAAGATATAAAACTTTTGACATAAGTGTTTCAATGTCATGAACTCTTATAGAACCACTATATAATAGTCTAGCAGATATACTATCCCAGTCTATATATTCTGCTTTTTTCAAAACCTCTCTCACAATATTTTTCTTATCTAATGGTATACGTTCCATCTTACCTATAGGTATCTTTTCTTTTAACTCTTTCAATATATTGTTTGTGTCTGGAATATGTTTGAGACGGTCCATATAGTTGTCGAAGTCATTGCATATAATCTTTGAGTCAGGAAATACGGTATGACATAAATGGGATATATAGAAACTTCCACCGAACAAATCTACAAATGTTAGACCATTCGGTAGTTTCTTAAGTTCTCTCAATATAATATCTTTACATCTACTCTTATTTCCAAAGAACGGTAACGGTGGTTTTGTAAAATTCATTTATATATAATAATAAAAATGTTTTTACCTGAAAAGTGATAGAAAAGTGACAAAACATGAAAACATATCTAATTTGTGAAAAGTGACACATTATATAATGTTTTCTACCCAGAAGACTAACAATTTTCCGAATAAAAACTTCATTTATACTAAACATCTTCGGGGCTAGAGGGCGCAACGCGCCTGGAAGCCCTCCGAATATAAACTTCATTTATACTAAACATCTTCGGGGCTAGAGGGCGCAACGCGCCTGGAAGCCCTCCGAATATAAACTTCATTTATACTAAACATCTTCAGGGCTAGAGGGCGCAACGCGCCTGGAAGCCCTCCGAATATAAACTTCATTTATACTAAACATCTTCAGGGCTAGAGGGCGCAACGCGCCTGGAAGCCCTCCGAATATAAACTTCATTTATACTAAACATCTTCGGGGTTAGAGGGCGCAACGCGCCTGGAAGCCCTCCGAATAAAAACTTCATTTATACTAAACATCTTCGGGCTAGAGGGCGCAACGCGCCTGGAAGCCCCACTACCTTTTTTTTAAATTAAAACCTTAAACTTATGGAGAAATCAGATTGACTCACTAAGATGCGAGTTGTTAGCCATTGGGATACCAATATCAGAAATTTGAGTACGTAATTAAGGAATCAATAATATTAGCTAGAATCTTCTGACAATGAAATTCTTAATTTATTATTGTAATCATGGATAATCACACCAACACTTAAAATAGACTAATGTAATATATTGATGATTTCAGAAAATTGGGCTGTTTTAGTCAAATTATTATCATTCTCGAGTATTTTGTGCTTTTTTCATGAATTTCAATGAAAATAGTATACAAATGATATACGTTGTCGATATCAGAATGATGAACAGCATTCTTCGATAAAAGTGAACTGAAACATAATTTCTTTGAAAAATAAAGCATCGATTTTATTTATTGATGGTTTATATTTGATCTATGTATATTTATTGCTTCTGGTAATATTTGACACGCATTACCCTTGATCAAATCATTTCTAATTCATGAACTTTTTATTGAAATCACTTTTTTATAGCTATTTTTCTGACCATTTTTGTTGATCCAGAAGTCAGTTATTAATGTTTTTACCATTTCATATGATCTAATGACGAGATATCATTAATCTGATGATGATCGATTGAATCATGACTTCGATTTCAAGCAATCATTGGGCTTTAAATTTTCCTTTTTCACGGAGATATATATCTATTTTAATGCATTGCAAATATACTCATCATAAATATATGTCAATATGAGTACATATTTCAATGGGAAAATTTCATTTTGGCATTTGAAATGGCGAGATAGAAGCACTCAAACATTCCAATAATTAAAACACTTCGCAAAATATAGAATCTAGCGAGAAACATGCATTATAATAAGGAATTGTTCATGAAATAGGTAAACATACACCTAGTATGTATGGAAATATACTTGCAATAAACGAACTTTAAATTACCTGGGTAGATAACAAATTTATGCTTTCTGAACCCTGAGAAATCATGGAATTGTCAATGCTGAAACATATCGGGAAAGGATTATGCTATAACGCAATATGCTATTGTGCATTCTTCTAAATAGAGTGGTTCCATAAAGGTGGTTATTATTCAGATTTTAAACTAAAAGAAAATGAAATTAATGAGATATCAATATTTTTGGAAATGAAAATGCAACCATTTCATGGAAGTCGATGAAGATGCATACATAATCCAACCCATTATCTTTAACTTGACCGATTTTTATAAATTTATAATCAGAATTTTGATCAAATGTCATTTTTTGTGAATTTCAAAAAATTAAAATTGGGACTATTACATATATTTTTTATTACTGAAGAAAAATATAAATTCACAATTTTTAAAAATACTTTCATAAATTTCGAGTACCTTTTCAAAATTGAGAATAAGAAATGTGTTTGTGATCTTCTAATATGTTACTTCAATTTTTATTTATGGGACAAAATTGATAACTTCACAAAATTAAGAAAGGTATTCAAAGTAAGACCTTACACGTTCTTAATTATGCCATTGATATTATTAACTAATATTGAAGATCTATTATTTTTGGTAATTTTAATTTTGTGTCATTTAACGTAAATTTAATTATGAATCTTTCTTCAACTAGCCCAACAAAATCTCCTCGTCGACTCTCATCTGGTGCCACTATAGGTTCGCAAAGAGATTTTTCTTCATTATCCTCAACAAATTATAACGATTCGAAATTATATCAACAATTCAAGCAAGAAGTTGAACAAGGAAAGTTCAAGGCTAGTGACTCTGACATCAAAAATTTAGTACTGATTCCTCATTTCGAACCATTCGACATTAATTACGTTCCATCAGAAGATCCGATTCATGTCAATCAATCTATTACAAAGAAAATCGATGCGGCTTCAAAGGCAGAGCCAAAACTTGTATCTGGCATAAAGGAGGCTACTCATGCAAAGTCAAAAAAATTATATGAATCGCAAATGAATGAATATTACAAAGATATCCAATTAAAATCCAAATCACAACAAACCATTAATCATATTGATCTATCAATGAACAGAGTATTAGTAACTGATTCACTAAATTCACTAAAAAAACATTTAATAATTCTTAAAAATCAAAATGAAGCTTTGAACTCACATATACTATTGCTAACCAAAGCTAAACAACAATTAACTATTCAAAAACAATCTTTAATTCAAGCTACGAAATGGCAAAAGCGCGAGATAGCAAAAATCCTCGGATCTCGTGTTCAACAATCAGAGCATCCTGATTAATATTTATTAGCCTTTAACTGATAATTGATGAATAATTAATTGCGCAAATTATTTGATTAGTTGGGTTTTCAGATTTGAACGTTGTTTCAGTCTCAATGGATTTGAAGCCCGTCTATTAAATTCTTCAAAATAAGTTGAGAAGAATGGAATTTCTGCATATATGTCTTTTTATACCATAAAAAGATTTAAGTTGCTCATCTTGTCTTAGTCATTCTACAATTAAGACAAAAATGATACGAAACAACTTTGTTAAACAATTTAATCTGCAAAAGTGTTTAACAAAGATTCTAAAGCAGATAATAACATTTTAGTATAAACTAAACCGAAAAGTAAGATATATCAATGATAAGTAAAAGTCATTAAAAAAAATTTATACTTTTGTTTTCTAATTATTGAATAAACACTTAAAAAGTATATCTTCGTTTGGCAAAACTGAGAAAATACTTGACAACTTAATATGAAAACTAAAAGATATTTATGTGGACATTGCAAAAAAGAAAAAGTAATCCGACCAACCGGATTCGAACCAGTGACCCCGGGATAACCACAATTCTACAGTCCCATGCTCTTCCAACTGAGCTATGGTCGGTTACATTAGACATTAAGGGTGCACCCGTATGTTCGTTTATTTGAGAGGAGGAGGATTACCCTCTCAATTTTGAGGGATTCGTTAGTTTATTTTCTCGATGAATATGCAATAAAATTTGATTTTTACCTTATCAATATACTTCATATAATATACACATGTTCATGTAAAAACTTTTTTCCAAAATCCTCAGGAATTAAGGGATTTTTGAATTTTAAGAATTTTTTTCGAATTTTTTCGAAAAAAAATATTTTCAGAACAGCCTTAACTGCTAAGATTTAGGAACAATGTTAAGTATCAAAAAGAAAGGAGGTCTGATATAGACAATATATATCGTTGAAGGTTGAAAAAATCTCTAATATTTGAGCCCAAAATTTCAAATTTTAATTTTTTGAAAAAAGAGGCCACCCGTATGTACGTTTATTTGAGAGGAGGAGGATTATATTTTTGAAAGGGTGAAACATTATGAATATGTTAATTATATAATAATATGTATTATTATAAAAAAGAAAAAATAAAGCACGTTAAAATTTTTCTTTCTTGATTTTTTACAAAATCTACTTAGAATTATGCAAAATATGACTAAATAATTATAAATTTCAAGTTAAATTTTAATTTTGATAAATAATTTAAATTTCAAAATATCAAGTTCGGTAAAAAAGGGGGTTGGCGTCCTAAGGCGTCCTAGTGTAAATTTCTCAAAATTGTGATATTTACATCACATTTTTGAGAGGTTTATGGGCGTCCTAAGGGAAAATTGAATAGCTAGGGCGTCCCGAATTTTCATTCTAAGATTTAAATATATTATATACTTAAGTATAATACAAGCAATATAAAAATTAAATTTTTATTATTTTAACTTATAAGAAATTTTTTTGAATTATCGTTGATTTATTGTAATCTTTCCAGGCTATACTTTTGAAATCAACTTTACCTGTCATACGCATTAATGTAGTAGATGTCCAGGTGTAGCTATTATATCCCAGCAACATTGGTATTTTATCATTGTAAGATATCAAAATGAAGCGTTTTTTCAGATATAATTTTTCGTAAATTTTTCAAAAATAAGATGGTAAAAAAGCCTCGACTTGCTCGAAAAATAACAATTTTTTTACTTGTAAAAATAACCCTTTTACAGCATGGGCAGCTATTTAATCACTATTTCTTTTTCTAAAAGTATATTTTTCAAAAAAAATTAAGATCAAATTCGACAATTTCTTGATGAAAGCAAAAATATTACACATACTTCTAGATGCATGGGATAAAACATGCAATTATCCAATCAATTCGCATGATTTGAAAAAAAAATCTAAATTTGATAAAAATGTAGAAATTTTTTATTTTTAACTTGAGATTCGATTTTTTTGATCCAATTTGTGAATTTTTTTTGATCGGAATTTCAATTAATTTGTTGATCAAAAATGACCTCACAATGTTTGATCATAAGTGAAGTCATCTTCATGGGTATTTAGAAATTCCAAGAGAAATTGCTTATTTCTCGCAGATGTAATATCTGAGAAAATCAAATTTAAATATTAAAAAAAAAAAAAGGTAGTGGGGCCTCCAGGCACTTCGTGCCCTCTAGCCCTGAAGATGTTTAGTATAACTTTGTCCGGACAAGTAAGGGTCTATCGTCGCTACAGGAAAAGTTACAGGCATTCCAAGGAAGTATACTTTGAGAAGCCTTTTCCCCATTATAGAACGATAGGACAGTTATTTTACAAAACTGACAACACTTTGACCGAGTAGTTTTTTGAGCTGAACAAAAAGTGTCATATAAACATCTGTCAAAAACCGCTTTTTAACTTCACTTAAAATGCCACGTAAGCTACGTAAGAATATACGTAAGAGGAAGAGAGCATTGAAACATCCAATAGTAAAACTGACACCACAACAACAGTTGCAACAACAAATGATGAATGACCCCACTATGTTGCAACAAATGTCAAGCAACCCTATGCTTTTAAACCGAGTTATTGGTGCACAGAGTGGAGGTTTAAGAGCGGCACTTTTAGCGAAAATGGCAGGCTATGGTGGAGCTGCAGACGGAACAGCTTATAACCCTCAAAGTCAAATGAATTTGAGTTCACTCAAAAATCAAATAACAGATGTCAAAAAGTCAAACATAGACATACAGAAACAAATAAGTGAAAACGAAAAGAAACTAGAATATGACAGACACACAAAGAAACTCAATGAGTTAAACGTAGAGAAAAAGAAGAAAGAAGAACAACTGAAAGAACTAAGTACAGAGGAATATGCGAAAAAAGTGTCAGAAAAAGCAGCAGAAGTAGCAAAAATGGAACAAGATGTTATAAATTTGAAAAACCATACTACTCAATATAAAGTACTGAAAGATGAAGAAATAAACAAAAAGCCCTGAAGACATATATGGATAGCGATGAGTATAAAAAAGAAGTTGAAGCAAATGTAAAGGCAGAAAAACTTTTACAGTTGCAAAACCAAACCGTACAGTATGAAAACTTAGCACAAGAAAGTAAAAATAACGACGCACCATGCAAAAGGCAATGAAAAGCGCAGAATATATAAAAGCTAATAATGACTGGTTAGATGCCCAAGCCAACGCTAAAGCAGCCCAACTTATAGGGTCAATAAGGACAAAAATACAAGCGGATGAAGACAGTTCAAATGAAGCTTTAACGAATGCTGACTTTAAGAACGCCTTCGAAGCTCTTCATAGTAAGGTGAAACTAGTGAACGACTTCTCATCTGGAAAGAAACTGAAGTCTGAAGGTTTCGACAAAGAGTTAAGAGAAGTAGCACAAAATATGACGAAAATAACAGATGCAGCAACGATACAGGCAGTTCAAAGTGCCTATGACGCCGTTAGAGCAACTGTTGTGGAAAGTCAAGAAAAAGAGTTACAACAGACCAAAACAGACCTAGTAAATGCTTTCTTAAAAACGAAAAGTCAGGTAGGACATTATGCTGCAGATGGAACATATGTGCCAGCTGGTGGAACTTATATACCAGCTGGTGGAACTTATATACTAGCTAGTGGAACTTATATACCACCAAACCCTCCAAGAGAAGCACCTGCACCAGGACTACCTAAAACATTTACATCGTCACATGGACACAGACACAGGCATGCACCAAAACCAACACAACAACCAACAGTTCAAAATCCAACACAACAACCAACAGTTCAAAATCCAGCACAACAACAACAACCAGCACAGCAACCAACAGTTCAAAACCCTGCACAACAACAACCACAAACAGAGCAAGGACATAAAAGAAGTAGAGAAAAAGGAAACCAAGAATTCTTAAAAATGCTTAAGGAAGATTATGGTTACCCAGATACTATTGACTTTAGTGACAGATATAAAGAAGCTATTAGAAAGTTCAAGGAAGGAAATACTGACCCGAACCTATTTAGCTTTATGGCTCAGCACCAAATGGGATATAATTTCAAACCTGGAAAATACAAACTCGCTAAGGAATATGATTTAATAGCATATCATCCAAATGACATGACTGAATTTACTCCGAGATATTTGGTGTCAGAGCTAAATGATATTTCAACTCTCTTCATGAAACGCGTAAAAAATAGAGACGGAACGAAAGAAGAAAGGTTTATGAGTCCGGATGACTTAGATAGGGAACTTGTTAAAAACGGTCTCGGAATATATGAAATGCCAGCAGATGAGGTACAAGAAACTCCACAGGAAGAATTTCAGATACAACCAGACATGGAAGAAATAGTTCAGCAACAACAGCTAGAAGAGCCTGAAGGAAACGAACAAGTCCCTCCTTTGGAAACTAACTTCACAGAACTAGATGAAGATTTGGAACAGCCGAAAAATCTTGACCTCAACAAGAGTATGAGGTGAATATGGAATCTTTCCAAGAGTCTAAGAAAAATTCGGCTGACATGGTAGAAGATATCGAAAAAAGTTTGCCGACATACAAAAGACTCCAACACCAGATGAAAATATTCAGCATAGAATGGAAGTACTGAAGAAAATGTACGCAAATACAATAACCCTTTTTACTTACGACCATATAACGTTCAATCTTTGGCTGAACTCGGTGAAAATAAAAGGTTAAATTTCAACAAACATATAGAAATGAAACATTGTTTAAAGTTCATTCAGAACCTAACCAATATGGAAACAAACATACTTTTGTTTCTGCAGACTATGGAACTACAATGAGATGGGTCATAAAGCTAACCCGGATAGGTGGTTCATAAACTTACAACCACAATTCCAAGAAGTTGTAGACGCAATGGAAGTGAATGGTGAACCAGATATAGCTGGTATTTTCAGCGCGGCTTTAATGCCATTGAAAATATGAAACATGCAGATATTTTGGACCAGTATGAAATGAACATGGCTGATGGAAATATAACACCTGACGTTCTAGAACAATTTATCTCAAAGAACTA